AGTTGACAAGTGATACTAGTAACCAGAATTTAATTGGTATTTAAAATTAATACCAGATACGAAAAAGTATGGACTTTCCTTAAGCTTAAAAACTTGTAGAAATGATCACTTTATATCATAAGCTTACCAGTATGCATTCGCCTAACAAGAATTTTTCTACCAAAACTAAATTCACAGTTTACATGTATTAATTCAAAGCGCCATTATATTAACATTTATTTATATTTCTACTCAGGAAATTAATTTGAACTATATAGTTCTTTAAAGCCGATTTTTTAAACCTTTCTTTCGGCCGGTCTTCTACATGTATTTTTTTCTTACATTTTAATATTTAATTGCGAATTTTGGATACACCGCAGATTGTAAGCTTTAGAAATTAAATACAAATATTTAATTTATTACGGAAATTTCTTCTGTGAAATAACTTTATAAATTTATCAGGTACAAACGTAAATATTTTTTTCATAAATAATAAATCTATTCATAGAGTTTTTTAAATCTATAATAGTACCCGTGAGAAATGACACATAATTGATTATGTAAGGGATTTTTGTGCAACAATTACATGTATGTTAAAATATCCATAATTAAACGAGTCATAGTTCAACCTTAAAATAAGAATTTCAACATTTACATAAATAATCGTAAATTCACACCCTTGAGTAGAAATTAAAAAAAATCACAGTCTCTATTTCATAATAATCCATTTAATCTTTGTATAAAAATATATATAAATAAACAACATTTTTTTATTATAATAATTAAATGTACTTTATAATTTAGATTTGAAGCTTTGCAAGTATCTAAATTAAAATATTTTAGTATCTAAATAAAATAATCTTTGGTCTTGTCAGAAAACGTTCCGCATTTTGAAACAATCCTATCAGGTTTTGCGTTTATCCTAACGTGAAGATCGTTTATAAGGTATATCGTGTTTTGCTTTTATCGTGTTTTGCGTGTATCGTGTTTTGCGTTTATCCTATCGTGCGTGTATCCTGTCCTATCGTGCGTGTGTCCTATCGTATCGTGCGTGTATCCTATCGTATCGTGTATCCTGTAAAGAATAACGATGCGGGTACTGTAAGACAAGTTTATTTTCACACTAAAATAAATTAATTCATTAGAATAAGGTACGTATTAGACCCATTAAAACCTAAATTTATAAGCAAATCATATCACTCGGTAGGGTCATCGGAATGATGCGATATTGAACGCTAACAGGACAGACGTTATTTTGAATACTGATACTAAAAAATCATTAATTTGAGGGTTTTTTGTTGGAATAATTATCTAAGGAATCACTGTCTAGTTTTGAGAGTATGCCAGGGCATCAACAATAGTGGGAAAAATGGGAAAATTTGCATAACGGGCTTCGCCCGTTATGCAAAAATTATCCCACGTTTCCCACTTTTGTTGAAGTCCCTGGCATACTCTCAAAACTAAACAGTGATTCCTTATATTTCCATTTCACTGTGAAATAAAATTGTAGATTTATACTTTAAAAATGTAGACATAGACTCGCAAGCTCGTGCATTTGAACAGCCAACTCGTGCCAATATTCACCAATATAAGTTCAATAACCCTATAATACTGACCCGAAATGTCACATGAAGGTCAAGATAACGTAGCATTTTTCTAACATTGTTGGATTTCAGACAATCGGAGAGAGTAAAATTATTCAATCATATAATAACACTGAATATTAAATGGTGATGCTGATGACATGATGGATGCCCATGATGATATAAGAAAATCTTATTTTAGTTGTCATGCATGGTATGCAATCCTGTCTGATATTAACTCAGGAGACAATAATCATCAACGTTAAACACGAAAGGTATTAACAATCTTAACAGACTTAAAGGGAAAAAAGGCCATAGTTAATCAAAGAAATATCCAGGCATTTTTGTTACTGTAGATTCAAGTATTCATGTTTGTTAAAATCACAGTCCCCTTCCTTAGTCCCTTAGACACAGTGCACTGGTGAGCGATGTGGCTCATGGGCCTCTTGTTTAAATTTGTCTTTAGTAAGTTAAATTCCCCAAAACATGGTAAAACAAGTCACTGATTGCTATGATAAGAAATTGGTATATGAGACTTATAATGAATTTATAAATTGTCGTTCATTAAACAATCCAGAATTCTAAGGTAAAATCATGTGGAGTTCTCACTTAAGTAAGTGTCCCGAATCAAGTATTTTATAGTACCAATTCTTCACATATTTTTGAGAGAAAAATTAAAATCTAAAGTTTACTTAAGGTTCGTCAAACCAGTTATGGCCTGATTTTTAGAGGCCTCTGCATTGTCTGACCTTTTCATAGTCCAAGTTGCTACACTCATTGATTGGCCAGAATAAGGAACCTTACATAAGGGGCTACAAAATTTACCGTTATCCTGAATAAGGTTTCCAACCGTTTATGCGACAAGCCAAGGATTGCCTCACTTTAATATTCAAGAGGAGCTAGCATTTTAAAACTTCCTACTTCCTTTTGTAGTGATAATCTGTTTATTTATCTAGATAGCATTAGGACGAAATTGAATATTTTTAAGGTCCCATACAATGAATATAAAAATTCGTTTTTGTTAAACATTCCAAACACTAGAATTGAACAGATACACTCGAAATGTTTACTGTAAAACACCTTTTCACACATAATCCGTCCAGATGCAGCCTGGCTTTCATTAAAAAAAAGTCATTAATTTGGGGGGAAATCTATGTTTTTAAGCAAACAAAACGTTGGAGAATTTTTTTTTTCAAAATATTAGAACTTAAGCATGCACGATAACAAAAATATTCAATAAGTAATAAAGGTAGGGTATTTTCCTTTGTAGTTTACGTTATTTTCTTAGGTCGATTTGACCCACTCAAAAAGTTTTTTTTATTGCCAAAATGAATATTCATTTCTATCTGGGTTTTTTAGAACTATGTCTGTACTAAAAAAATATTTCAAAAATTTTGTTTTTGTGCAGATGTTTTTCTCCTAATTTGTTATTAACAAATGTTGTTTGCTTTAATCTTATTTTTCACCTGAAATAATTCTATTCTTTTCCGCTAACGATTTTAAAACTGAATTTCGGTTCGATTTAATTTTTTTTGAATCCTGAAGAGAAAAGGATTTTAAAATTTTCTTTGGTAAGAAACTGTGAAAATTCTAAATCATTTCTCATAAAGAAGTAGATTGATAACGTAAATTAAAATTCCATTGATATTCAAACCAAAAATTAATATTTTCTTGAACTTATTTCTACCCATTTAAATGGCATGCAGCATTTTCAACTACCTAGTGGCATAAAATGCCTCAAATACTATTTATTTTTCATCCTGTTCAGAGATTTACTCATAGATATATTATGATAACGCAAGATCTGCTTTCAGAATGTTTTTCCTTTATTTTTCTAGATACGTTTCTTCCTATTTTATCTTCTTTCACTCCCAATATGCTTTTTCAATTTCTTCTTTTGACCTTACCATCTCTGATGAACGAAGTTTATGAAATATACATGTAATTACAGCGGAAGGCATTTAAAGCATATTTTTACGTTATTTTTACTGTAATTTACGTTATGAAAGTTTTGCTTCAGTATGTCACCAATGAACAGAGATTTATTGCGTGAACTATTGCTTCAAATAAAAAGAAGTACACATTGTTTGTAAAATCAATTAAAATTCACACCAAGAATGCATTCTTGACGAATCAATAAAGAAATACATGTATTTGAAAGTTGGTAAAGGTCACACGTAATTTACGGTATATGATGGCGCTTCCTGCATCAGATCTACATCGGAAGTTCGGTGATGTTAAGATGCCCTCGAGATAAAACCAATAACGTTTCCTGCATGGTTCCGTATTTTTCCGACGTCCTATTTGCAAGATATGTACCATGTATGTTTTCTACTGATAACGTAAATAACTTTTTATCAGTTTTATTAGTGTAAAATGTGTCAATGCTCGTTTTGATATTTTACGTTTTTGGTACGTCAGGAAGAATAAATAAATTGGTATGCAAAGACACTTATACTCGTATTCTTAAAGTATCGTTGATATCTTAAAACACATCCTTAAAACGAACTACTCACCTCTGGTTACAAGACCAATGTGTTTTTGTAAGTATTCTGTCATATAACTTTTCTTTGATTCTGGTTGCATTTTATGGACTTTGTTGGATATTCTAGTAGATATTTTATGTTTTTAGATCCTTTTTATGCTATTTAAACAAATAATGATACATGTGTATTTTGATAACGTAAATTAACCAAATTTTGCGACATAGTTATTTTACACTTTCTTAACATTTCACTAGAGACAAATATTTTAAAGTGCGAAAATTCAGTATATTTATGCATTGTTACATGTAAAAGTCATGACTTTTAACATAAAATATAATTGCTGTGTTTTACTGAATGGTCCAAACTTTGCCCTTTGCCCGAGCGACAGATATAAAAGCCACATTTTAGACTATATACGTGGATCCCAGGGAGGTTTTAACCAGCGTAGTATCATTTAACTGTGTTGGTTTGGTAATTAGACGTAGTCACAAACAAAATACTACAAAATTTAACAGTTATTTTAATACTTATGTAATTTAAAGTGCTTGCGACATGCAAATAGCGCATATGGACGGATTATGTGAGAATAGGTGAAAAGCATAACACAACTGACTTGAAAAAAAAGTCAAATTACGAATGACAGGGAATTAGCTTCCGGACTAAAACTCGGGTATTAGACCAATACAAAATTAAAATCTTGAGGATTACAGATAACCGACGAATTAGCTTCCGAAACAGGAATTATTTCATTTGACTGACGCACGGGGATTAGTCCTTTCACAGACATTTCTAGGGAGTTATTCACAATTTAATGCTTAACCTTTATTTAGGAAAAAAATCGGTAGAGGTATAATGAACAAATATAAAACTTATTATAATACTTCAGGCCTGAAGCGGATGGGGAGTGAATATATCCTTGAATTCTACCAAATAAGATATATCAGTAACATACCGTAACAGTTAGTAACGCCAGGTAACAATACAAGCCAAATCCACCACAGGGTAGCCATTGCAAACGCGGAAGTACAAAAAAATCTAGTCCAGAGTTGATTCACTGACGAATCAGAAGGTGTGTGTTAAGTGATCTATATAAAAAAAGTAAACATACAGATTGACATTCTTTTAAAGCATAAACAATTTTAAAACCAATTGGACAGAAACTTTAATGAATTCAACACTCACATCTTATGTAACAAATCTCGTTTTAAGAAACTATTTAATAATTTCCTTATCGCCTATGACGTTAATCTTTTTTTAATGAATAAGAAATAAAAATAAAATAAAATGAAAATAAAAAAGAAAATAATACTACATTTATTTGCAATAAAATAAGATTCTTTTCACCTTTGAAACAGAAATCAGATATGTTTGTGAAACACTCGTCCTTATTGCATATGTTGTAGTTTTAAAAATGCAAGTTAAATTCCAAGATCAAGGTCAAAAGGTCAAAATTGTTTGTATCAAAATGAAGGTCTTGTCAGAATTAAATACACATGTGAAATACGAAAGCAGTAGTACATGCACTGCATGTATCTGTACAAAAGTTAACCTCAAAGGCAATTATTTTTAATGTTGGTAAAACTTCAAAACAAAGGTAAAAATTTCAAAAATGTTTATAATCTTGAAAAGTTTTGTCGCGATGAAAACTCATGTTAAGGTTTCGTCAAAGATCAACATGTCATTTTTTTTTTTACAAAAGACCCAAAACTATGTGAGGTATAAAATTAAAACTTTTACAGTTTATAAAGTTTTCATTGATAAACAAATAGAAAGTCTCTCTTGATAAAAAAAAATATTTGGAGTAAAATTAATTGAGAAAAATTCTTCTTAAAAATGCATATATTTTCAAAAAATACAACTTATTAATTCCATGCTCTTAGTGAAAACCATCATTGCAGAAACAAAATATGTTTATCAATAAAAGACAAGTTGGACTTGGATAGCCTCTGGAAATTTGTTTTCCCTGTTTATTTTGTCCAAATGGTAAGACTTGAAAGTGAAAGTACATTGAAAATGGCGGATTCTATAGGGGTCTTGTCTTTATACATGCCATACTTTCAATAACAGCCTTTCAGAGACCGTTCAAGCCCAACTTGCCCTTCAATGATAAAAATATATTATTTCTTCAATGTTGGTTTTCACAAAAAGGACAGAATTAAGCAGGTGCATCTTTTTAAAATATGCACATTTTCTGATACAGTTTTTCTAAAAAAAATATATTGTTGAAAGATATTTGTTATCAAGTGATACATTCTATCTATTGATCGATGATATAACTGTAAACGTTTTGACTTTATACCACACATAGTTTGGGAGCTATTTTTTAGTCATGTTGACCTTTGACGAAACCTTAAAGCCCTACCCTAACTGTTCAAAGGTTATCGCCAGGGTTAACGTTTTGTAAAATAATATAAAGGTTTTTTTAAGTTAGGTCAAGAGGTCAGATATGGTGGCACCCGGAAAAGGTTTGGGCACAAAAATATATCTGTAAAGTATGAAGTCCATTTTGCCCAATCAAAAGTTATTGGGATGGTCAAATTTGTAGGGGACGAAACGATAGACATACGGACAGATAGAGCAAAATCCAGAAACCGTCAATTCTTCAATTACGGGTCGGAGTAATTTTCAATTAGGGAAAAAAAATTCCAAGATCCCCACCTGAAAAGAGTAAAAAAAAAGACCTTTTCGGCTACGAACAGCAAAAAAGATGGATGTAAATGATATATAAAGTAATTATTCAGTAAAAAGTATCAAAGACTTACCTTAAACGTTCAATAAGACAGGGGAAATTATAATCCAAATCCCTCTAAGTTCTAAAGAAACTTTCCACAAGCATACCTATTTAGCTAAGAAAATCAGAGACGGCAAGACGAAAACTTGCAATTATTTTTATTGGTGGATTTTGAATCTTGGTAGATTGAAACATGTACTTCCCTGTTTAATTTACACTGCATCAAATAATGACCTACATGTACTTATCTTTGGTGCGGGCGATATTTTTTTATTTGTGCAGGTACGCTTGGCACTATATGTATTTCCGTCTTTACTTATTTCCCTATTTGATAATAATCCGGAAAGTAGAAATGAAACTTGATAGAATAATATATATCCAGAAGTAAAATCCACGATTAATACATTTTGGAATGATTTTAGCTCACTTGAGCCGAAGGCTCAAGTGAGCTTTTCTGATCACATTTTGTCCGTCGTCCGTCCGTCCGTCTAGCTGGCCGTCTGTCCGTCTGTCTGTAAACTTTTCACATTTTCGACTTCTTCTCAAGAACCAGTTGGCCAATTTTAACCAAGCGTGGTACAAAGCATCTGTTATTTGTTAAAATGAAGGGCCAAGTCCCCTTATAAGGGGAGATAATCAAGAAAAGACAAAAATAGGGTGGGGTCACTAAAAAATCTTCTTCTCAAGAACCACTGGGCCAGGAAAGCTGAAACTTATGTGGAAGCATTCTGGGGCAGTGTAGATATTAAACTGTTAAAATCTTGACCCCCGGGGTTAGGGCGGGGCCACAATAGGGAATCCAAGCTTTACATAGAAATATATAGAACAAATATTTAAAAATCTTCTCCTCAAGTACCACTGGGCCAGGAAAGCTGAAACTTATGTGGAAGCATCTTTGGGTAGTGTAGATATTAAATTGTTAAAATCATGACCGCCGGTGGTAGGGCGGGGCCACAATAGGGAATACAAGTTTTACATAGAAATATATAGAACAACTCTTTAAAAATCTTCTTCTGAAGAACAACTGGGCCAGAAAAGCTGAAACTTATGTGGAAGCATCCTTGGGTATTGTAGATATTTTATTGTTAAAATCATGACCGCCGGTGGTAAGGCGGGGCCTCAATAGAGAATCTAAGTTTTACATTGAAATATATAGAACAACTCTTTAAAAATCTTCTTCTCAAGAACAACTGGGCCAGAAAAGCTGAAACTTATGTGGAAGCATCCTTGCGTATTGTAGATATTTTATTGTTAAAATCATGACCGCCGGTGGTAAGGCGGGGCCTCAATAGAGAATCTAAGTTTTACATAGAAAAATATACAACAAATCTTTAAAAATCTTCTTCTGAAGAACCACTGGGCCAGGAAAGCTGAAACTTATGTGGAAGCATTATTTGGTAGTGTAGATATTTTATTGTTAAAATCATGACCCCGGGGTTAGGGCGGGGCCACAATAGGGAATCCAAGCTTTACATAGAAATATATAGAACAAATATTCAAAAATCATCATCTCAAGAACCAATGGGCCAGGAAAGCAAAAACTTATATGGAAGCATCCTTGGGTAGTGTAGATATTAAACTGTTAAAATCATTACCCCGGGGTTAGGGCGGGGCCACAAAAGGGAATCCAAGTTTTACATAGAAATATATAGAACAAATCTTTAAAAATTTTTCTCTCAAGAACCACTGGGCCAGGAAAGCTGAAACTTATGTGGAAGCATCCTTGGGTAGTGCAGATAAAAAATTATTAAAATCATGACCGCCAGTAGTAGGGCGGGGCCACAATAGGGAATACAAGTTTTACATAGAAATATATAGAACAACTCTTTAAAAATCTTCTTCTGAAGAACAACTGGGCCAGGAAAGCTGAAACTTATGTGGAAGCATCCTTGGGTATTGTAGATATTTATTGTTAAAATCATGACCGCCGGTGGTAGCGCGGGGCCTCAATAGAGAATCAGGCTTTACATAGAAATATATAGAACAAATCTTTAAAAATATTTTTCTCAAGAACCACTGACCCAGGATACCTGAAACTTATGTGGAAGCATCTTTGGGTAGTGTAGATTTTAATTTGTTAAAATGATGACCGCCAGTAGTACGGCGGGGCCACAATAGGGAATACAAATTTTACATAGAAATATATAGAACAACTCTTTAAAAATCTTCTTCTGAAGAACAACTGGGCCAGGAAAGCTGAAACTTATGTGGAGGCATCCTTGGGTATTGTAGATATTTTATTGTTAAAATCATGACCACCGGTGGTAGGGCGGGGCCTCAATAGAGAATCTAAGTTTTACATAGAAAGATATAGAACAAATCTTTAAAAATCTTCTTCTCAAGAACCACTGGGCCAGGAAAGCTAAAACTTATGTGGAAGCATTCTTCGGTAGTGTAGATATTAAATTGTTAAAATCATGACCCCGGGGTTAGGGCGGGGCCACAATAGGGAATCCAAGCTTTACATAGAAATATATAGAAATAATATTTAAAAATCTTTATCTCAAGAACCACTGGGCCAGGAAAGCAAAAACGTATATGGAAGCATCCTTGGGTAGTGTAGATATTAAACTGTTAAAATCATGATTCCGGGGGTAGGGCGGGGCCACAATAGGGAATCCAAGTTTTACATAGAAATATATAGAACAAATCTTTAAAAATCTTCTTCTCAAGAACCACTGGGCCCGGAAAGCTGAAACTTATGTGGAAGCATGTTTGGGTAGTGTAGATATTAGATTGTTGAAATTATAACCCCCGGGGGTAGGGCGGGGCCACAATAGGGAATCCAATTTTTACATAGAGATATATAGAACAAATCTTTAAAAATCTTCTTCTCAAGAACCACTGGGCCAGGAAAGCTGAAACTTATGTGGAAGCATCCTGGGGTAGTGTATATTTTTAAGTTTTAAAATCATAAAAGGGAAAGGGGTAGTAGGCATGATAGGTATAGCAAAGGGGGAAATCTGGTAAAGAACTGCATCACCCAAGTTACTCAGGTGAGCGATGTGGCCCATGGGCCTCTTGTTCTTTTTTTTTTTTTTTTACTTTAGCATTATATTTTATTTCCATTTCCAATTCACCGGTCACGGTAGCCTAGTGGTAGAGCGTTCGCTTCGTGATCGGGAGGCCCGGGTTCGATTCTCGATCGCGGCGCCGCGTCATACCTAAGACGTAAACAAAGGTAGTGACTGTTCCTTCGCCAAGCGCTCGGCACTAGAAGTGAAAGTCACGGGTCTTTCGGATATGACCTTAAAAACGTAGGTCCCGTGTCGCGGTAGGCGTTGGCACGATAAAGAACCCTCACTGCTCAATGGCCCTGAGTGCCGAGTATAGGTCTAAATTTGAAGCCCTTCACCGGCATCGGTGACGTCTCCATATGAGTGAAAAATTCTCAAGAGGGACGTTAAACAATATACAATCAATCAATCAATCCATTTCCAATTGTTTCCCTATGATAAACACTACAAAAGTAAAGCTTGTTAATTTCTCCTGTGGCATGTAAATTTCTCTGTACAAGTATACACTGAACCAAACTTGTAAGTGTTCACCTAACATTTTTTTAAGTTTTAAAGAACAAATGCATACAATCAATAATTTCTATAATTCGTGGTAAATGATGTATATTTAAGTTCGATGTTGCGTGAATTTTATGTACATATAAGTATCTTGTCAGAATTTTAAGCAAAATGTCAAGGAAATGATGTGCCCTCAAAATGAAAATTCAAACAAAAAAATCTTTATGGAGTAAGACCACCACTCGCTCTAATTACTACAAGACAATCTTTATTGTCGGATACCATGTACCCATGAATAAGAGATTAGCCCATCTGCTGCCACACCTACATGTACTGCATAGATCTTTCCAAACCATTGAAATTGTGTGGAGGGGGGGGGGGGTTGACATTCCTTAAAACAATTCCAAATGTGTGCAACGAGATTCAGATCCGAGAATTTGACCGGACATCATCACACAAACGCCTTTTAATCATTATCCTAGGGTGTTTAGCACGTACGTGCACCGCTTTAAGAATGATTCAGACTGCTTGAGCTGATATAAGACTGTCACGAGCAGCGATTTCTTATCATTTTCATAAGATTGAAATTGTTTGTTTTCATGTATCTAAGATTGTTTCAGGACAATTTAACACTCTATTAACCTGGTGTGACGCGAAATTTTGGCTTAAGACGAAGATAAAGTCACTTCCGGTTTGGTTAACTTTTCTTCAAAACTTTCAAATTATGATAAATTGGCGATAAAAAATGAAGCACAGCCTACAGAAAAATGTGTTTAAATGGGTTTTGATATTAATTGATAATTTTTAAAAGTAATATCGAAGATAATTAAACACTAAAATAAAAGTGAGTAAAACGTGGTGCATTGATGGTCTAGATATCAACGTTCCAACGGCTCTCCCTTCTATCTCAATGGTCATTTTGCCAATGTTTTGTGTTTTTTAGTGAAAACTGTTTTAAAATTTGATAATGATCACAAAAAGAAGCTAATTACACAAGACACGTGCCGCAAAGTACATATTTATTGTTTTTAAGCTTCATCACGGAACATTGGTTTTCATCAGTGATATTTTCTTTTCTTTCTACAATTGTTGAAAAGACTCATTTGTTATAACAATTTAAAAATACCATACCATTCCATAAAGTAGTTTTTTTTTAATAAATACATAAATAAATTTATTAAAGTGAAGACTTAGAAATTTTTTTAAGTTGAAATACTACTGAAAGGTCAAATGTCAACCTGCCTGTATACGTATGGTACATGTATATGACTGGCGTATAAATATACTGAGGAAGAAATAGATGCATTGTTTGATTGTTTACTAAGTAATTAAATATGATATATATTTTTACAAACAATTAAAATATATAATGAATTATCTCCGGATCTAAAGCAAGTCACCAGTCTACTATCACGGAGAACTCCACTTTCGTAAATATGGTAAACAACCCATCTGAACCACATGGAGAAGATTGTTATTTCAAGTAAAAATGGAAATATAAGGAATCCCTGTCTAGTTAGGAGACCATGTCAGGGACATCAACAATAGTGGGAAACATGGGATAATTTAAGCATAACGGACTTCGCCTGTTATGCAAATTATCCCATGTTTC